TCAGTCTCATACTTCCATCATGCTCACTGCTTTGCAATGTGGTGGCAGCACTGGAGAATTATTAAAGAAAGCTTTCCCTGTTTTCTTCCCACAGCACACAGTTCTGCAAGGATGCTACAAGCCAGTTGGGTAAAAGGTTGATATCTCAGTTGACACATTCATGGGTCTGGAAGTCGAGGAGTGCTTGTAGCCCTGTGCATAACTTTTGTCAGGACATGAGTATTGAGAACGGACCATGAGACTGGGCAGGTGGTGTTCATGGGAATTAGTGACTGGTGTGATGCTGTTAACGGTCCATATAGATGTGCACAAATCTTCAAGTGAGGAAGGTGCTGGCCTCTCTTAAATAAATTTACCAATCCTTCAGGAGCCATTCCTGTTGCTGGGGGTTTGTCCTGTAGCAGGTTTTGTCATGAAGTTTGTACCTTTGTGATGCGACAGAGTCTAGTGCAGAGGTTCCAGGCTGTCTGAACTGGCTAGCTCGTACCAAAGCAACACAGCTACATCCATGGTATATGCGTTATAGGCAAGTGGCTACTTGTAGTGCTTAGCCCAGGCAGAGTGCTCAGTTAACATGGCTTTACGGCATTCATAGCTGAGTAAGCTTACAAATTTCTCCATAGAATTGATTTCCATTACTGCAGCCATCTTACATGAGGTCACTTTGGAAAAGTCCCCACTTTGGAAAAGAAATGCTACTTATATTTAGGTGTACGTGTACATAAATATAATGCAAATAGCCAGAAAAAAAATTGTCTTGACTGAAATGTAAGGAAATTTAGTCATTATAATTTTTCAGTGAAAATAAAGCTAAATGAAAAAAAGTTTCATTTTCACAGTTATTGTGGCCCAAACAAAGATTTTGTTTCAATTTCAAGTATGCCACTTGAAAATAAAAATTAGAACCTTTCTAAGCAAAACAACAATCAAAATTCTTTAGGCAGCCCCTGCTTGTCTTCTGAATTTTTCTCACTTAATCTGATTGTGAAGTTCAAACTGAACTTGGACCGATCTCTTTCCAACCTGCAATTCTAAGTCAGTATATTAATACTTCTCAAAAAAAAACCCAAACCAAAACATTTACAGCTGTAAACTTGAAATTGCAGGTAGTATACACTGATGTATCATTGCAGAAAGGTTGGATATGTACAGTCTCACAACAAAACAATGTGATTTCCATATTGCTGGTATGTACTGTGTAGACATGCTGACTGTACATTATGCTAGTGCCAACAGGCTGATAATACGCTGCTTTCTTTTTGTAGGGTTGCAAAAGGTTAGAGCGTTTACTCTAACAATGTTTTCATGGTATATGACCAGCTGCATTTGTCAAAGCTGTTCCTCCTTAATCCTGTCAGAGCAGAAATCTTACTGGTGTGTTAAGATCATAGAATCACAGAATGATTTTGGGTTGGAAGGGACCTTAAAAATCATCTAGTTCCCCCCTTGCCATGGGCAGGGACACCTCCCACTAGCCCAGGTTGCCCAAAGCCTCATCCAGCCTGGCCTTGAACCCCTCCAGGGATGGGGCATCCCCAGCTTCTCTGGGCAACCTGGGCCACTGCCTCACCACCCGCACAGGAAAAAACTTTCTCCTAATATCTCATCTAAATCTCCCCTCTTTCAGCTTAAAACCGTTACCCCTCATCCTATCCCCACATCCTCTGATCCAGAGTCCCCCCATCTCTCCTGTAGCCCCCTTTCAGCACTGGAAGCTGCTCTAAGGTCTCCCCGGAGCCTTCTCTTCTCCAGGCTGAACAACCCCAACTCTCTCAGCCTGTCCTTGTACAGGAGGTGCTCCAGCCCTCTGACCATCTCTGTGGCCTCTTCTAGAGGTTGTTGGTCTGGTTGGCTCTGCATGGAAACACTGGTGCTCAAATGATGAACGTTAAGATATTTATTGGCTAGTTCTTTTCTATGACAGTCATTTATAGTTTGCGGCTTTTTAGTCCATTTATAAAATGTTTTTGGTTAAAAATAAACTTTTCAGTACCTGCAATCAAAATAGGTCTCTTTGCAAATACCCGTTCTTTGCTTTGTCATCAGATTTCTGTGGTGGACTATTCCCTCTTAACGTGTCTTTCAACATGGTTATCCATAGCCTGTTGTCAGTACATACTCATGGATCTTTTTATTGCCTAGACCCTCTTTAATCATATTGTACCACTTTTTGATTTGTTCACTTGCAAGTAACACTCTAGTATTCAAGGTGATCTAAGAATTCAAAGATTTTTTTTTTCTTTTCTTTTTGAATGAGAATTTGTAAAGAGGGTGGACATCATCCTAAGTCAAATTCCACATGATATCTGTCAAATTGATTAGGAGAACTTGAATTTTAAGTATCTATTTCATCGGCCTTTCTGGATAGTTATGGCTCAGTGATGTTTTCAGTTCTAGACTGTAGATACAACATATGTGCTTCCTCTTCCTGATTAAAATATATCCTTCATTGAAAGTTACTTCTCTTCGTTTTTGAATGCATTTTTATGACAGTTCTTTAGGTTTTTGTAGTTCTTAGCTAACTGAGGGTGTTCCATGCTACCTGACTTCTCTCCCTAACTAGATGATGGCAGAAGCTTTGCAGAATGAAGCTTAGTTATTGGATAAGGAGGAAATGTGGATGAGGTGGCAGTAATTTTAAATGTAAGCACATAATACTTCTTCTATTGCAAAAAGTTTTTGTGTAACCTCCCTTCCCCACTTTTTTTTTTTTTTTAAAGTGGAAAAATAATCTAACTCTATATTCACTAGAAAATAAGAAGACAAACCTCAGGCTGTAGAGTTTGGGGTTTGTTTTAGTGATTTTTCTTTAATCTGTTAAATGTTGCCCTGCCTTAGCTAAGCAGTAAACTTTTAGCCTCTATGTTGTAAATGGCTGCACCCCAGGGCTGCAGCAGGAACAGCAGCTGCAGCTCTTGAAATGTGTGAAAGACTGAACAGGTTCTTGCAGCATCTGTATGGCCATCTGAAAGACTTGGTGATAGCTAGAGCATTTTATTTTTCCGCCGTATCACCAGCTCTTAACATCTCTGTCCTCCTACTCCATCATTAGAAGCAGGTGAAGGAACCTCCCTTCATCCTCAACCTACTACTGGTGAAAGCAGAAGAACCAGTAGCAGGTTCCTCCCCAGGTAGCCCTAAACATTTATTTATTTTAGGCATAGCCTTGAATTAGGTGATCATACGTTACACAACTTGATCACCTCGGCCAATGACTGAATCGAATGCAAAAGGAAGAATTTATTGCATTTGGGTAATTCAAGGTTGCACTTTTTTTAACTTAACACTCAACCTAAATTTATTTTATTGTAATTAATTACATTATCTGTATAACTAAATGCATTTTTCGAGATTATTATTATGGGGCTTTTGACTATATCAGAGTACCTGTGAAATTCAGTTCGTTTGTCTTTATTTGCAATGTCTCTGGGAGGGAGGGCAGTGTAAGTCTGGGGTCTGTGAGGTTGTGTAGATAACATGTAATACAGATTGCAGAGAAAACTTTGCTTAGGAGGGTAGTTTACGTGAGATTGAATGTTGGAAATTCTTATATGAATGTGTATGTGTGTGCATAAAGGTGTGCAAATACATTTATGGAAACACATGGAATGAGCTGTGACCAGTCCCTGCAGAGATTTGATTAAGCTGATAAAAGGCATGAATGACAGAAACAAATTATTCTGTGTGTATAATTAGTAAATGACTATTTGCTTGCTTTAAGTTGCTTTAAAAATGATGAGGCGTTTCCAAATCTCTGGATGTATGGAATTTAAATCCATATCAACTTCTGACCTCACATGCCAGTTAAATCATACTTCATTGCTCTGTAAAATTGAGATTTCTGAAAAAAAATCTTTTAATTATCTATAGGGTTTCTTTCAGGCTTAAGAGCACTTGAAGAATCTCAAGAGAATTAATGAAATCATTGAGCATTATAGGAGTAATTTTTTACTTTTGCTTTTAACCTCTTCGTCCATACAACCAGAAGTACCCATGTTTTATTTATGGGCTGGTAAATAATTTACATTTTCTTTAATCTGAGTGTTTGCTTAAAGTAAAAATAAAAGGACATAAAAGGATCGTGCATCTCCCAGATAAGAGTATCATTTGCATATAAAAATAATTGTTCTTGTGAATAGAATGCTAGCCCAGATTTCTGGAAACTAGCATTGAAGGCTGGTTCTGCAGGTTTCCTGCGTGAATGCTAGCCATTCGCTTGATTTTTCTGTTTCCAAATTCTTGTTTTAAGAAAAACAAAACAAAACACAAACCCAAACTCTTCACTCTCCTTATCGTGTTCACTGAGTTAGTAAATACTTTGGCCCCAGACTGTGAGCTGTGAGAGGTGTTCCTAAAATGTTTGAGGACTTATGTTTTTAGAATTGAGTGGCTAGTATTTTAAACACACTATTTTTAAATAGTAAATACAACATATATTTTTGCTGAACACTTTTCACAGAAAAGTTTGTTTTTAAAATATTAACATTTTCATGTTAACATTTCCTAAGTTAAATTCATCTGAAAAATGTAATGTTTGACACTTTTGAAAATAAATCTTGTAAAATTATAATTTTGAGTACAAAAGGAAATTTATGAAAATTTTATGAGGTAACAGTAAAGGTTACAACTATTCAAGTAAAACAGTAAAATTGAAAAAAAACCCATTCGTTATTGAAGTGTTTCATTTTGGGCTTATATATGTCAGTTATTAACTAAAAAAAATTTGGGTTTTTTTTTCTTTTACTTTATACAAAAGATATTTAAAAATCTTTATTTTTTCACTGACCTGGAAAAATTAAACATTTGTTCATTTTTAACTGGATGTAAAATCCACTGAGAATATTCTGTTTTTTCCTTCTGTGTCTTCTATCTTAGCACAGTGCATTCTCAGTAGTCTCCTTGGTTGCAGGTGATTTGGTTTAAACCCAGTGCTTTGTGTGTGGTACTGTTTTGCTTCAATATTTTTTTTTTAATTTTCTTTTTTTTTTTTTTCTTGGAAGGCGAAGGGTGCTAGCTATATCTGATGGAATCGAACATATTGGGAATCTTCGCTGGGAACTTGCACTGTGCCTCCTTGCTGCTTGGACTATCTGCTATTTTTGCATTTGGAAAGGAACAAAGTCTACTGGAAAGGTGAGGTTAAAATTCTGTGTGTCAGTTGTACAATGACTCTCTTGTGCTCCAAACCTGTCTTGTCATTTATATTTGCTTAAATCAAATGGCAGAATTTCATAGGCATTCTGCATTACTGTAAGTAACTATACTTCGGGGTATATAAATTGTAATACTGGGTAATTATGAATCAGTCGTACTTTGCATTGTTTTGTTCGTCTTGGTTTTCATTATTTGCTTTGTCCCTAATTCTGTTAGATTAGGCTGTTTGTTTTTGTTTTGTTTTGCTTTTGTTAATTTAGCAAACTACACTTCTGGCCAATCCTTGAACCCTGAAATCGATACTGGGTTGTGGTCATTTCTGTGCTTGAGGTATCAAAAATTTGAATTTTGTCCCATACTGACAGGAATTGAAACTCTCAGTGACACAAGTAAACTACACACATAAGCAGAGAAAATTTAGAAATATAAACAACCTACAGCAAATGTAAACTAATGCAAATGGGACACAAAAAGCAGAAATAATGAAAAAAAACCTCAGAGATAAAGGTGGACGTAGTAGGGGAAAAAAGAAAAATATCTCTTGTAATTTTTTGTGTGAATGCCATTCCTTACTGGACACCCAACAGAGAAACACTACTTCACAGCCTAAGTGGGTCATGGGATGATGGAGAGGTTGCCCCTGGAGTAATAGCAGATGTAGTTCTGAGTAGAATGTATGGTTAACCAACTAAACAGAGAGGAAAAGAGCCATAGGTCTGAAGGCGGGGGGGATCTCTGAAAAAAACACTGCTTTCTCAAGTTGGAACCAAAGAATACAGGGGATAAAATTGGTGGATTGAAACATTTTATGCATTTAATTTTCAATTGTTTATTACTTAGTTGTTTACTTTAGTTTTAGCATGGTTGGTTTTTTTGTTTGTGTTGTAGTAGCCTACATTTACAAATGAATGTTTGAAATGTGGAGGGTTGGTTTTTGGTTTTGTTTTTTTTTTTTTTTTAAGAGAATGTCAGAGTGAAATTTTTCAGCATTCTCAACCACGCACATTCTTCTTCCTATCAAAATTTTCATTGAAACTATTTGCTGTATTTGCCAACTGTGTCAGTCAATCTGGTACTGCATTTTTCATCTAAGTATTTGCATGCAGAGATTTATGCAGCCCTACTTTTATCAAGTCACTGCAGGAAAAATGCTGAGAAAGACTGTCTAGGGATATGTATAAGCATGAATAGTTTAGAGGAAAGGGGGGGAAAAAAACACTAAGAAGAAAAATATAGAGAAGCAAGGGTGATATAAGGGAATGACAAGATAAACGTCCATATGTCTTTGAAGCATGCACTCCAGGGAGGTACAAAAGTGGTTTAGAGTTGTCTGAGGACTACAGCTGGCAGTGAAGAAATGAAACTGAGCAAAACTAATTTTCTTTTTTCCGTGAGAAAGTGTGTCTGAAGATGGAGATCTATTCTACCATAGTATAATCTGACCCAAGGGTGGAAGAAAAAAACATGTACTGTGAATGCACACATATGCATGCAAGGTTGTGCAAAACTCCAACGTACTTCAGAAAAGTAACACTGGTAGAAATCATTTAGTGATAGAGAGAGGCTCTAGTGATTTTGGAAATTATATATTTTACATTTCTGCATTTCTCTGGTTTACATTCAGATTTTTATTGCTCTTCACATACATATCACACAATTCCTACAGCCTATACCATTTCGCTAGAAATAGATCTTTCGGAAGTAATTAAAGTAAAAATTAAAGCAAAACTGACCTGTTTGATTCCCCCCCCCCCGTGATAGCTTAGCTAAAACCTCAGCTTACTAGTATTTTATTTTATTTCAGTGTGGTTTTGGCAACCACCTTTCTGATGAAGTTAGGTGGAACAGTCTGAGAAAGAGACATGTCTTGCCCACTTGAAATGGGCTGAAAAACTTTTCAACTAAGCAGAAATAACCAGTCTTGCAACAGAAGTGCAAAGAAAATTGAATTAATACTCACTATTCAGCTTTATAGGTTTCAAGCTTAAAAAAAATTAGGTCATGGTCCCATAAGACTCATCATATATTTACACCGTTGAGATCAGTTTACCACGAGCAGCAGATCTGTTTCCAAAATTGTGAGGAAGCAGCCTGGTAGATTCCTGTATTCCTCAGGAGACATTGGTATTCAGCAGTCTGCCTATGCAGAAGATCCATTGATTCGCAAGAAACATGCAGTAAGGATCTTTCATAGTCAATATTGATTATTTAATTTTGCAGTTCTGTTACTGCAATTAGTAAGGAAAGCTTTTTACTAGATGAATGAGTGACATTGCAATTGTTTCCCAGTGATACTTTTTTTTTTTTTTTCTGGAAATAAGTTTACTTTTTTAGATGTATTTAAGAATTGAATATTCTTATGCTTGCCACGTATTACAGCCAAAGTCACTGGAAATCTGTGCCATCCCACTGCCTTCCCAGACCAGCCGAACAAAGACATAGCAGTCAGGTGTTGTGGATGCTACAGAGAAATGAAATGCTATGAAATATAGATGACAGAGCAGCCTTCTGGGCTGCAGTTTCCATTTCTGATATACTGGAATTTTGAAAGTTCACATTTAAGCTCATCCAGTCATAGTCCTTCACACTAGATTGAATTTCTTACATGCTCATTTCCAGGAAACATTTAAAATTGACTTCTAGATTTCTATCATAGTATTAAAAGTATTTTTACGCTAGTTTGTTAAATTTTCTGTATATTTTAGATGGATTGAGTAATTTCAATGAAATAACACATTTATTCAAAGAACTTCTTGTGCTTAAAACTTCTTAAAGTTTTATCACCTTAGGAAACATTTTCAAAGGAAGGTGTCTGTGGAACAGAATAGCTAGACAGAGGACAGGAGAAACAGAAAGAGACAAAATGGAGAAGGGGAGTAAGAGACTTTCCATCTTCGTACAGTTGTGTTCTGTGAAATATTCAAGAGGCTGGTTTACTCTTTTCCTCTTTTTACTCCGCATCCTAATGCGTAGTGAAGAAAAAAATCCAAGCCTTAAAAGCTGTCATAAAATAAAACCATCATTCTCTGGCTAGCACTACCACAGAACTCATCTACCCAGATTATAAATATTTAATATTTTAAGATATTAAATATAGTAAATCTAACATAAAGTTTAATTCCAAATGAAGTGCTTGTGACTCTGTTAACGAGATGTTTCAAACTTTTCCATTACTGTTCTTGAAAGTCATCACTTTCTCACAAAACATTTTAGTTTTAATTTCAGGTGGTTCTGGTGGCTTTCAGGAGAAACGTTTTTGAGCCTTTTCTGAGGTTCTTGCCATTAATTATTCAGTCTTAGATCTGAAGTTATTCGTATGCGAGCTTTCACATTTAAAATGTTACATGTATACTAAATGCAGGATCTTTGAGAAACTCGAAAAAGAGAAAAATGTGACAATGTAATGTTACCATAATGTTATGTGTATATTGGGAGCTTGATAATACGATATCCATCTTACGCAGAAGTATTTTCAGTAGCTAGCATCAAATGCTTCCAAAGATGAGGTAAGAACTATGGAGAAGGCTGAAGAAAGTTAATTTTCTAAACATTTAAAGTATCATTCTAAACTCTGATCATTAGGGCTTGGTTTACTGTCTGATTTTTCCAATATATTTTTCATTGCTGATTATGACAATTCTGATTATTTCTGTAATGTATATCCCTACATAGTTACTGAGTCTTGCTAATTTTTGGTCGTCATATAACATTCATGAAATCTTCAGGTACCAGGGAAGCAGTTCTTTTTTGGATCTTGACTATCCACTTATTAATTTGACTAAATGTCCTTGTGCTCTTAACTTTGGGAAGGGGACACCAGAAGTTCCTGTTCTATTTTTCCTAAATTGCTCACTGAAGGAAGTAATCCCAACATTTTTTTTTTTTTTATGACAGTATGGGAGGTTTTTCAGATAGGGATCACTCCTCTGAGTTCATAGTGACTCCTCACTTGTAGCAACTTCTCCACAATTGCTTTTGAAGTGAGGAGGCTGGCAGACTTAGAGTTATGTAAAGACATTATGGTAGTCTCTGTCTTATTCATCAGTCAAGCATCTCGCTTACATTCTGAATGCATCAACACATTGCTGTCTGGTGCTGATAATGTTAGTTTGGAACCCTCTCAGGTACATGGATTTATAGAATCACAAATTTGTACAGGTTGGAAGGGATCTTGGAAAGCTTCTTGTCCAGTCTCTTGGTCAAAAAAGAATCAATGCTGAACTCAAACAGTTTGCTTAGTGCTTTGACTGGCTGCATCATAAATCCTCTAAGGACAGATTTCACGTGTCTTGGGGCAAGCTATTCCAATGCTTAATTGTCTTCATCATACGAGTCATTTATTAATTACTTTTTTCCTACCTGTAGGTTCATTCCAGTTTTGTTACTGAATTATATATTTTTTTGCTTAGCTTGTTATAGTTCTGCGATCTGCTCCTGATTAAAACACATTTTTGTATCATCTCTGTTACTGTGTAGCCTGGGTTTAAGTGCCTGCAATTATTCATGCATGTAAAATTACTTAAATACTTCTATATTAATAAGCTAAGTTAATAGCTGGATTTTTTGTTTCTTGAGTCTTTCTTTCCTAGTCAGCATCACTGAACTATTCCTGAGTGGGAGAGGCAGCTAAACAGCATACAGCAGGTCACGCAGCCATAGGACAACTGATCCATCTTGTTTATGTCTTTATAATAGCATTGCACGATGTACTTCTGCTCTCTGCGCCGTATAGAAGAGCACTACTTCTGCCCCCTCTGTAGGTGAGGAAGGGTTGAATCAAGTCTCAAAAAGCAACCTGCAGCGTTGCAATAATTTTCAAGTATAGATATTAAAACATTTTAGCACACCTCCAGCTTTGCATTTTTAAGTGTCTTATGTCTGAAAGCAAGCCACAAAGAGAAAAGCAAAACTCCTTGTAAAAGGAAAACTAATATAATAATGACTAATAGATTTGTATCTAAAGGCTGGTTTAGGCAGTG